AGTCAGCAATAAACTCTATTGGAAACAGAGAGCCTCCCAAAACAGCTGAGATAAACGAATGTAAAAAACTGTATCAGATGCTGAGAGAAAAAACAAAACAGTGGTCATACAATGGATTCCTGGTCACTGTGGCATTAAAGGCAGTGAGCTTGCTGACATATTCGATAAGAAGAGGACAACGATTTTGCAATGCATGGACCGGCCGATGTCTTTCCACACAATGAAGACCTTAATCAGGAGAGAATTCAAGACCACAAAGTACATCGAACTTAAAGCTTGAACAAAGGAGAAACAGTGGACAGTGGCACTCTCCGATATAGCCGACTGCCCAAGAATCGAAGCCGTTGCTGAGTTTAGACTACGTACCGGACACGATTGCTTGGCAAAACACCTTCACAGATTGGGAGTATACACTCAACCCACATGCCTCCTATGTGACTTACAGGAGGAAATGGAGAAGACCCACCTGATTCGGTGTTCAGCCCTAAAGACAAGTACGGAAAGCCAGAGATACTGGGAAGCAAGAAGACAGCTAATGAATTGCTATTAATTAACTGCTATAGATGTACCCCCCACCCATGGGAAGAGCTGAAGTCAAAGTTTAAGGGCTAATGATAAATATCATGAAGCCTGCCATTTGAAAAAATATTCATGCATATGCCTGTTCAAGCCCCTGAACCAACAGCCCTATACTTTTATAAAAGTTGGAGACCGTTGAGAGGTACGAAAGATCAATGACTTTATTCTGAGCATTTTTTTTGCGCAAAATATGATTAGTCTAGTTGACGGTAAATTGTAAATTGTAATTCCTTTAGAACTGAACCTGGTAAAACTAACAAGAAAATCTGCCAAGAATGTTATAAAAGCAAAAAATCATTACCCATTTATCCTGGAAAATGACTTGAAAGAGCCAAAATCTTTGTTGGCTACGCATAAGCTGGTAGTTGTGTAATCAGGAGGTCGCTCAGAAGCTCCTACTTTCCTCTAAGTGCGCAAGTAGGATGTGTTTGAATGAGTACGAAGAAGGATTCTTAACGTGTATGCATTTAGTTATATAAAACTGAATCAGATACAAACAAGGATTATAAACAAGAAATTATTTTCAACTACTCTGAAATTTATAAAAGTGTTTCAAGTAAAGTAGTTAAAGCATAAGGAACATCAACATAGGATAAAAATGAGAGAGAATAATAAATATATAACAATTTCATTCCACTAGATTAATATTTAAAGTTTTTTAAAATATTTTATCTCTTTTGAAGAAAGTATATGTTTTAAGCAGGTTATAATCAATATTCAATTCGATTGCATTTTCTTTGTTTTCTTCAACTGTTGTGAAGGCGATAATTTCGTATCAGAGTTATCGACTGTAAAATTATATGAAACAATTTATGATCTAATTTAATGCGTCTCCACCAAGTTATCACTGGATCCAGAAATAATGGACGCAATTGTCTTGCATGCTTAAATTTTTCGAAGTCATTCTATTTGGTAAGTCAATTCTATTCGATTTAATAATTACTTTATCGTATTTTGGCGGCATCAACTTTTGAGAAACTTTAACTTCATGCATGGTTTCATTATTAAATTGTTATAATTTTTGCCAATTCGACGTTGTTGCTATTTGAATTCAGTTCTTTATTCACTAATTTTTACATGCATTTTATAATCTGGCGTATACTCGGCACAATCATATTTATCCTTTATCGTTAAAAATAAGATGCCTTTAACTTCCTTTTTTACTAGATATATGGATGTAGCCGCAATCTCGTTATTTTGGATAAATATCTTTTCCAAATTCAAGTAATTGCTGATGCTATTGGATCTGATTCTGGAGAAATCTGCTGCTTGTCATGTGAAGATCTAAGTGGATTAGTAAGAATTCTTTTACATTTCTTTGTAATCATTCTAGATAGCAGTGTCGAATGGCAAAGATATTGCAATTTTTGAACCCAATCCCTCCAAAATTGCCTGGGGAGACCTCTGCAAATTTTCTCCTGGAGGTTCAATCTCTGCACTGAGCTGGTTCCCGCATTCCTCCAAGTGTCAGTCACCTCTTCTTGCCATTGGATCTTCTCTAAACAACAGTGACCACCATGTTTCGTGTTGGCGTTTGAATTGGCCTACTAATGCGGCTTCCAATATCTTCCAACAATTATGGGTATTCCGAAACCCAGGTCCTTTGATGACTTATTTGATAAGACATAATTATGATTACACTATTTTATTGTTATATTTCATTTTCTATAGACCCAGTTAATTATCTTAGCGTTTCCCCGGATGGTCGCTTTGTCGCCACATTAGCTTCGTCGTCGAATGACTTGAGAGTTTGGTATGCGATTGGTAGATTTTCATCTAGTCGTCAATCTGATGAAAGCCAATCGAATTGGCTTCCTTGCCTTCTCAGACATCCGGAACACGTTGTTTCATTTTCTTGGAGATCTATGCCTCGATATCTCCCACCGTATGTACCTCTATTTTCTATTCCAATTAGTTCTCTAGAAATGCTGAAACTACTTTACGAATATTTATACAGTTAGTATAATACTTAATTTGCCTCGAAGAAAAATTAAATTTTGTAATTGTATACATATATAAATGATGTAATTATTTTCCTAGTTTTTTTACCAATGGAGCTTTAACTCAGTACTCGCTCTATGTCTACTTGTTGGTTAGAAATAAATAAATATTAATTTTAAATGTTTTTAGTAACTTTTTAATAGGCTTTGTTCCTCTTATATTATTTGATAGTATTAGGAAATCTATTCACGATTCTTTTTTTACCCGTAGTTTCATATTTATTGGGTTAAAAGTTGCCTAAATTAGTCGAAAGTGTAATCCCAAGAAGGTTAGGACTCCAAATTTTAATTATATATTTTTCATAGTTTTATATTACATTAATTCCAGCAATAATTGATGAATGCTTTCAAATGTCACTAAGAGGAAAGACAATTCGTATATTCTCCCCAATTAAGAAAGTCTAAGGAAGTTTGATTAATTCAGTAGCTGAACATTTATTAATAACTATTAGTCTTGCTCTCTGAGTTATGGAAATGTGTTTAAGTTATATCTTTGATCAATATCATTCTGACTACTTTACAACTTAAATGTACCATAATTGCGTTCGTTCATCATATAAGCACACGTCTTTTTAACGCAGAGGATGGTTGCCCAATGCGTTGTTGACGTCTTGCAAAGATGGAGTTGCTCGAGTTTGGTTTGAGGATGCCTTGGGAGCACATCGGAACTTTCCAATTCGCGATGACCGTTCACCCAACCGAAAAATATCGTCTAACCTCGTATGTAATGCTGCCTTTATAACTAAAAATCTGGGTACTTATTTTGTCCATTAGTAGCTTCTATTATAATTGGAGCATTCCGGAAGGACCTTAGAATATCTAACTTTTTTATTTATTATCTGAATTTTGGTTGGGACTTTAGCGTACTGTTGACATGCTTATTGCTGCATTTTATATTACATATTTGTGTGTTACATTTGTAATTGTTGTGACATGTTACCTTTTGGTTGCCTAATGAAAAAAAACATATTTCATTGTTTGTGTTAGCTTAGTTGACATTTTTTGATGTGGAATGGTAGTATTATGTCAAGTCGAATATCAACTCAAATCGTCTTCGCACATCCATCCAATTGTGAATTTTATAGAGAATTGAGGGATTGTAAATCCTTATTGATTTTGGCTGAGTCCATTTTCTATAACTGCCGTTGAACGAAAATGTCGTGGTTTTTATATGTTTTAGCCGTAAAAATCCTGTATATCCATTGAGTTTTATCTTAAACTGTCTGGTATTTACTCATCAGAACTTTCCCACGCTCCACCCAGTCGACTATTTTGTGAAATAATAATGCATTTTCACTTGTTTAATAATCTTGTCTACTTTAGTATACAATTTTCATTGAATGCTGGTTGTGTTTGTGTTTGAAAACTTTTATCTAACCTATTATTCTGGTGTAGCCATTTCGAAGCTCAAAATGTGCTTTTTTTGAGCGTTGGTATTAAGTTAATGTGGATGGCGACAACAGCACACACATTTTTTACATTTAAAAAACATTCGTTTCGAACGCCGAGTAAGGCGTGAAAGTAGTGAGAGGAAGAGAGCTGTGATGTAGTGAACATTATAGCCTTGTTATTAACGTTAAATGCTTCATATAGTGCTAAAGGTGGGATAATATAAACCAGGATTAAATGTGAAGAAGAGAAATCACCGCTTCCTTTCTGAGTTCTTATCATTCTAATTTATGATGACCATAAAAACAAAAGTCAAGTTTAATTATTAATTCATTATTTCTAAAAGCTATAATATCACATAACTTTTAGTCTAATATAAACACAGGTGGTTATAAAAGGGATAGAGCGACGTACTTCGGGCAGGAATCTATAAATCAGAGAATCAGAATAGAGTTTTGGCAGTTTTTATGGAGGTCATTGTAAAATGCAATCAAAATTCAGTGGTGATGAAGCGCTCTGTTTTCGGATGTAGACTTTACCGTTATCCTCTAACAATAGTCTTGAACAACCTAGACAATAGATTTGACTATATTATTAGTACTATGGTCTGTACGCAGTCTTCACTTCATTGGTGTCATGGGTCTGTTTTTCAAGACGATAAACAGATAATTTACAGGATTCTGAGGAAAATTGCTCTTCACCATAAATATATGCGCATTTGTTTGGTAAATTCTACTTTGTTTTAATTATTTTGCACAATTTTCCTTGTTAGGTCAACGAGAATTCAAATGAAAAGGGCCTGCTACCTACAATTCTGTTCGAACATCCCGTCCTGAATTTCTACTTCCGCCTCTGGTTAGTCACTTATTGCTCCACTGTGGATATCAATTTGTTGCTCTATTGTCTTGTAGAGGCACTTTAATTGTAGCTTGACCAGTTATTTTGGAAAACTTTTCTTTAGGTGGAGAATTATTTATTTCAAATGGCAGGCGTTATGATAGCTATCATTAGCCATTTAGCTGACTTCGGGCTTCACAGAAGGAAGGTTCATCAAAGTAGCAGAAAGTCGAGCGATTCACAGATGTAAAAGAGACAGACAGACACGAAGGTAGAGAATAAGGTAAGATCCGTACTGTGAAGGGGTTGAATATGACAAGCAGTCAGGCCATGGTAGTT